CATGTTGTGTCACAATATCCTTGTGGGGACCTTCCATTGACTTCCATTCATTTCCCACTGATTTATATGGCCTAACCGTGACCCTTGCCCTAACCCTAACCATTACAGAAACATACCTATCCCTAAACCTAACCTAGACTCAATTCACACCTTAGTCCTAAACCTAACCCCCACCCCAAGAAGAGAAACTTTCCTTATGGGGACCAGTTGTTGGTCCCCACAAGTACCTATGAGTCCCCAAAGTGTAGCATATTCCTAGGAAATTGTCCCCACCAGGTATTAAAGCCATGGCTACACATCACACACACACACATCACACACACACACGTCCTCCAGGATAAGTTTAGTCTAACATGCCAGAAACACTCTACACTGCAAAAAATTGAAATCTACAGAAGTCATTTTTTCTGTCTTATTTCAAGTGCATATTATCTAATTATATTATTCGAAGAGTAAAAATACTCATTAAATGTCATTTATCTGCTCAAATTAAGGGTAAATACACTTAATTTAAGACATTTTTACCTATTTGCTGATAATTTTTCAGTGTAAGTGGGGATGAGGGAGAGAAACCAGGTGGGAGGCCAGCAGTGTGTGATAGAGCAGCTTAATCCAAAGCATGCTCAGACTCGTATTGTTTTCTCTGTGTGTGATTTACAATAAGTGAAGTTTAGACCCTCGCACCTATCTGCCCCTTCAGCTGCAACGTCTCTGCAGCGCATAAGCTGCTGCACCCCCCCACCCCACCCAGAGAACACAAACACAACCTCTCACACCGTCTTATTATTCCAGGATCCTCAGCAAATGTTCCCAGAGTGGAAGCTGTGGATGAGAAACTGGTTCTGAGGCTAAACGGGAACAAAAACACGTTTCATTTTCACACTGAAGGGAATCGCAGTAAACAGAGGATCTACACTGTAAAACCTTCTATAAGGTGGAGTCATTCTAATGCATTCTGCTCTACATGCAGAGTTAAACATCTAATAATTTTAGCTTAAAACTTCACGCTGATCCTTTTGGAAAAGCTCTCTGATCTTTTTTTTACTGAATATAAATAAAACTATTAATGAAATGTTTTTTAAAAATTCACAATTATTTCTCTTTAGACTTAGAGTGACATTTCCATTTCATAAAACATCCATTTCACAACCAAAACCTGGCCTAAAAGGAACAAACTGTCCTCTTCCAGCATTAATTCTGGTCAGAAGTCATTTTGTGGTCATTTTTGTCTAGAATAATCTTTCAACATCACATTTATTTTTGTCATTCAAAGCAAAAAATTGGTGCAAAAATATATTTAAGTAAAATCCAAATTGTAATAGTTCTGCAACAAAGACAGAAAATTAGACAAATTACTAATCAGTCATATTAAAAAAAAGATTTATGTAAAATTTTATTTTTATCTAATTTTAAAGCCTTTTTTTTTTAACTTTTTGAGTATTTTCCTATACTGTAATGCTATTAATATGATCAACCAACATCAAGCATTGAAAACTGTAATATGAACATATAAAAAGTGCATGGAAGTGTTTTATTGTTTTATATGTTAGATGTGAGGACTATTCTTTACCCTGATACCCCAAAATAAAATCCAGTATTATTAGTAAATAGAGGATTAAATGTGGGGGAAAAAACGCTTTGGTCAAACTAATTAAAACTTAAACTTTGCACACACCATTCCCACAGTGAAACATGGTGGTGGCAGCATCATAATGGGGGGAGGGGGGCCACATGGGAAACATTAAGAGACGCCCTATTAAGGGATGTGACCAGCTTGTGACCAGGGGCACCGGCAGGAATTTGGGGCCCCATGAAAGACATATATATATATATATATATATATATATATATATATATATATATATATATATATATATATATATATATATATATATATATATATATATATATATATATATATATATATATATATATATATATATGAGGCTCTCTCTCGTATATATATATATATATATATATATATACACAAGCTTTAAAACTGCTATAAAGACGGACAGAAGAGCATCGTTTACTTTTTCATTATTATTACTGTACAATTTCAACGAAGGAAAATTATCCTAACACAAAAAATTAAATATACTTTAATTTTAAACTTTATTGAAAACCATCCTCTCTAAATAATATCAGCTTATTTAGAACAATAAGAAAATAGATGTATCTATGTATGCATGAAAAGAAAATAGGTTTTGTAAGTTTCGCTATAAATTTAAACACAGGACAGATTATTTAAATTTTTTTGTTTTGTTGTTCATTGCGGAAAAATAAGGGGGAGAATGAAAAGATGATTTATTTTACTGCTGGATTTTCTTTTTATATTTGAAAAAAATATAGTGGGATATATCTTTTCTTCTTCTTTTGTGGGAGAACATGGATTTTTTATTGTAGACATGATGTAATCATAAAATGAGTAAAAAGCTCATTGTGTTCATTTGCAATACAGAGGTGGAGCTAAATCATCCCTATCATTGTAGTTTCTGAGGGTACCTGAACGCCCCTCAGCTTTAAAACAAGGTGACGGACAGTGGCTGCTGTGGGGCAGCTGGATAAACCTCTACTGGTCTGTTTTATTCATGGTCTGTTCCAGACGCCGGCCTAATAGAATAAGTTGGTTTACAGTTAAAAGAAGAAAACAAAACAATTCCATTCTGTTATTTTTATTCTATTTATTCTATTTTAAGGGCAATAATAGTATCTCTTTCAAAAGGCAAATACGCATTTTTTAAAGAATTTTTTACTTTTCTAGATCAGTTTTTACAGTTTAATACCAAAATTATTTGTGATGATGAGATGGTTTTTTTGGATTTTTCTTGGATTGGGTAGATAAAAGACAGATTTTGCCAATGGAACAAGACAATTTACACTCAAAATAAGAAAACACAATTGCATTGTCTTATTTCAGGTGCATCGTATCTAATTATCTTATTTTAAGAGTAAAAAATACTAATTCCATTGGCAAACTCATTTAAAATCTCATTTACCTGCTTAAATTAAGGATAAATACACTTCATTTAAGACATTTCTACTTATTTCTAGATCGTTTTTTCAGTGAGAACCGACTCCACTGCAATCTTAGGTCAAGCTGGAAAGTCTTTCCGATCTTATATCGAGATTAATAAACTTCTTGTTTTAAGAAAATATATATATATCGTGATTTCAAGAAGTGCAATTGTGTCACTGCATTACCTAACTGTTGCACTTTTTTTAGTAGAATATTGATAATCTAACATAATCTGCATATATATGAATCTTTAAACAAGATCAGAAAGATTTCCTGGTTATATGGACAGTCTTTGTAGTGTATAACTGATTTGGCTTTTCCAAAAAAAAAATACAAAAAACAATCCACCGGACTTTGTTTCCAAGTTTGAAGACGTTTCGACCTTACCGCTATCATCAGCAGCGCCTGATTAAAAATAGACATATACCAAACAAAAAAATATCAAACGTATACTAAGTTATCACACCAGTATTTTTATATGAAAGCCAACAACAAAAACACGAAAACAGGGGAGAATTCGGAAATAAAACAGTTGGAACAGCTGCTTCCCTGCGACTTTAAATGTACTGAAACCCGTTTATTGAAAATAAATGCGTCAGTTATTGAATCCCGACTTAGACAGATTTATTTTGTATACACAAGTGTAAACAAAAAGAAATTTCGTTTAGAACAGCTCTCTAGACTATTTTATTTTTTAAAGTGCAGCCTAGATATAAGGTATGCAGCAGTTATAAAAAAATGTGATATTAAGTCACTATATCTATTATTTGATTGATTATTGTTCTCTGTTTGAATATTGCCGTCAATCAAACTTTTTTGGAAATGACCCGGATGACTGAGAATCTTCACCAGCAACTGATTTGTCTCTTTAAATTATTTAATTATTAACCTTAAAAATTAACTTTAAAGTCGTAGGGAAGCGGCTGTTCCAACCATTAAATTTCCGAATTCTCCCCAGTGGTGCACGACTTTACACGAGTGAATAAAGTGAATGTGATTGGTCAATTATCAAGGAGGCGGGATTGTTGTGGTGGAATGTTCGTAAGCGAGTTTGATTGTAGCCGGTTTGTGGGAAGCATCTTGCTAACCAGTTAGCAACTTAGTGCTAGCAGGTTCCCAATGGGAAATTCCATTGGGACCAAGTAGCACTAAATTGGTGACTTAGAAACGACGCTGTCAAGGAACGCTATGGACAGAGGAAACATGCAAGAGGAGGAGAGTTTAGTGTCGGAGGTCGTGGATGAGTCTCCTCCGTCATCCATTTTTTATTTAGAGGAGGAAAGCGGGGACGAAGATGTTGTGGAAGAGGACGCCAGGGCGGCAGAAGCTTGGTTTGGTGTAGAAGGCTTCCAGCCGTACATGTTTGAGCCCTTGCCTCGCAACGCTGCCAGTTCTGTTAGCTCTACGCCTGCCGAAGACACAGACGTCCATCCCCGTGAACACTGGGACGCAACTCAATGGGAAAGGAAAGGATTCTGGTTTCAACCGTTGCGTATATTAGCTGCGACATATGAATCAAGATGCTATGATCGAAAACATTTGATTGACAGATGACCGTTGATACATGATTGGCCGAATTTAGGCGTACAGGCTGACGTAGAACTAACTGACACAGAAAAACAAAGATTTTAAGACAGAATTTTAATTCTTTTATAGAATTTTTTAAACTTTTGGGACAATATGTTCTGATAAAGAATACATTTATATATATGTTTAAGCAACAATAATTTCACATTTAAGTATGATTTCCCTACGACTTTAAAGCTTTATTCATTTTATTTTATAATAATTTCATCATATATATCTCTGCGCCCTGGCCCCACCCTGAGCCCCTGGTGAATGTCCTCTAGATCCGCCCCTGCTTCTTCACCCGGGATGTCCGCGTGCGTGTGCGCGCGATGGGAAATGCAGCGCTGGGCGGGGGTACGCGGATAGGGGCGCGACCCCCCTCCTCCTCCACCCACACCCCCTGTCTGATATCGGCGACGCGCGGCGCGCTCGCGGCAGTCCTCTCGTGCTGTACTGTAATCATATGACAGGGAGTCTGTCCCGCTGCTGAACACCGAACCACCGGAGGACCGGAGCGAAGCAGGCGGGGAGCAGCTGAGGGTCGGTCCGTAGCTGAAGGAGCGGAGGACGAACTAGAGCCAAACTCCCCCCCTCCCTGAACTTGTTGTAAACTGTGGGAGAGCCGAGGGGCTGCTGAGGAGGACCGAAGGAGCTGAGAGTCTGAGCGGCGGAATCCCCGCTGGGAGCTTCGCTTTTTATTAAAAACAATAAAACAGAAAGAAAAGTTGAAAGTTGCTTCTCTGCCAGTCAGGACGCCCGGATCCAGAGCCATGGTGGGGGAGACAGAGGTGAAGGAAAGACCCAAGTCCAACCCGGACTATCTGATGCAGCTGATGAACGACCGGAAGGTGATGAGCTCCCTGCCCAACTTCAGCGGCATCTTCACGCACCTGGAGCGGCTGCTGGATGAAGGTAACCCCCCCCCCCCCCCCTACTGATCCAAGCTCAGGGTCCAAGCTGACCTTTAACCTGGAGCCTAACTGAACCCTCTGATCCCCCCAGCATCAGCAGCAGCGGCGGGTCTACACTAAATGTTCCAGGGGGCCAGGAGGGGCCCAGCATGCTCTCATGGGGGGCCCAGAAAAGCATGAAATATAAAACAGGGAAAGAGATTCAGATATAATAATATCGCTGCATGAAATGAAATGTCTATTTAATTAAGTTTTAGTAAAATAACATGTCTTGTTAGGTCAATATACATTCATAATTTAGTAATTTTACATATTTTTGAATTAGAATTACCTTTTTCTATAAAATTTGAAATAAAACTCAAGAAAAACTGATAAATTCAGCTGTAAAAATTAGAGCAATTTGTTTAGCAGATGAAAACGGGGATCCTACCTTAATACCACTGAAGCTTTCACCTCATTGTTTTTAAATAATTAGTAAAACAGAACTTGTAAAGAAAAAAAATTAAATAGGTCCTTTGGATCCATGTCTGTTCCAGCGCAGATCATCATTAGAACTTCTTTTAAGTATTTTTAAGTATTATTTCTTCAGGACATGATCTACAGGGGCACTGGCCCCCATTGGCCCCTGTCTAGATCCGCCCATGATCAGCATGGCCTTTATCCTCTATAGAAAATAAGACTTTAGAAGCATCTGGTTTTGCTTCTTCTTTTAATTTAAGTTGCTTTATTTGTAGCATGAAAAAAAAACAAACTAAAACCAGAATGTGTCAAAGTTGCAAAAACATTAAATCAGGCTTGAAAAATAAAACTAGTTTGATTTTGGAAGATTGGTGCAACTGTAGCTGAAACCGGTTTATTCTGATGGGCTTTAAGAACAATTTTCTTTTCTGATGGTAAAATATTAATTTATTTGTTTATATTTTGATGTATAGACTTAATATGAAATGTTGCTAAACACAGAATTTCGCCTTAAATATAAGCCAGGATCTGCTGACCGGCAGTGCTCAGCATGTTAACTTTACATCCAACCTGATCAGAGAACGCCTCGCTCACTCTGGCCCCTTTTAGGACATTAAAACTTCATAAAAATAAAAAAATATTTGAGCTCAGACCTCCACTAACTTCGGAAATCAGTTTCAGCCGATAAAAAGCGTTTTCTGTTTAAAACGTCAGTCACATCTCTTCGCGTTACTCATCAGCCTGTGGCTTTATCTTTGCAGGTTAATTACAAATCCTACATTTTGTTTCTTATGCAGATATTTCTGATTCAGTGAAGTTTCTTCCAGAAGCTTTTTATCTGCAGGATTCGTCCAACAATCCTCAGAAACTGCAGCAAACTTTGAACCAAAAAGCTTGTTTTCTTTTTATGATTCAAACCTGAATCTTGATCTAGATTCCTGATTCACTGACAGTAGCAGCTCTCCCTCTCTGTCTCTCTGTCTCTCTGTCTCAGACAGGGATAGTTTGTGATGGGAACAAACAGACAGTTGTTAGACTTTCCCAGTGACCTAATGAGCAGGCTTATGTGAATGCTGCAGCCCATCCCTGCGCAGGAACGAGAGCATGTGAATGTGTAAAATCTTCGATTTGTAGCCTCTGACAAGGCCATGGGTCATGATGCGTGCCCGACCTGTTGATACGCTGCGTTACAGATGGACCGATTCATCGGCCGGCTCACAGTCTGCGCCGATATTGGCATGTTTTTTTTATTTCTTGTCCTGGTGGCTGCTGCATGCATTCACTGATTCATTCAGGAGATCACATGAAGCGCATGCATCGGTCCTCCCCCACATTTACCATCCACGGTTAAACTTTTGTTTATTTTCATCATCTAAATGGAGGAAGAGAAAGCAGCAACAAATATGGATGCCAAAATAATCTGTATGGCTTCCAGAAAAGTAAAAAAAAAAAATCCACTGGACTTTGTTTCCAAGTTTGAAGACGTTTCTCTTCCCATCCAGGAAGCTTTTTTTAATTCAAAATATCAGAAATAGGGTTGAGTTTGAGGTTTTGGGTGCATGTCCGTCTCTTTCAGAAGCTCGGCACTAATTAACACTGGAAAAGGAGTGAATTTGGTTGATTGGTTAAACTAAACCTTAGCCTGAAGCATTTTAACGCGACGCATAGAGCGACGGATAGATCGTCAACATTATTCTCCAAGGACTATATGTAGAGCTCCCCCTACAGGTTTGGTGGAAGACAGTTCAGTAGATATCAGCGGCTTATATATGTCTGTTTCCAGTAAAAAAAAAAAAAAAAGAAAAACTTGGTGGGCGTGGCCTATATTTAGGAGCGCTCTATAGTTTGGGAAATACGGTAATATCACAAAAATAAGGTCATAATTGTACCAGAAGAATAACATTAGAACAAAAGTTCAATATTACAAGAAAAAACTATTGATAGTTTGAAAGATTTTAGAGGGAAAAGTTAATTTGGTTTATTGGTTAAACTAAACTGTAGCCTGAAGCATTTTAACGCGACAGAGCGCTCACAAAAGTGCTTTTTTATCGTCAACATTATTCTCCAAGGACTATGCGTAGAGCTCCCCCTACAGGTTTGGTGGGTTACAGTTCAGTAGATATCAGCGGATTATATATGAATGTTTCCAGTTTAAAAAAAAAACAAAAAAACTTGGTGGGCGTGGCCTATATTTAGGAGCGCTCTATAGTTTGGGGAATACGGTAATACCACAAAAATAAGGTCATAATTGTACCAGAAGAATAACATTAGAACAAAAGTTCAATATTACAAGAAAAAACTATTGATAGTTTGAAAGATTTTAGAGGGAAAAGTTAATTTGGTTTATTGGCTAAACTAAACTTAAAGCTACAGTGTGTAATAATTACAGGCATATAAAGTCAGAAATTTAATATATTATACATAACTATGTTATTTATCATCACCTATGAGCTCAGCCTTTTAACCATAATATTTGCGTTGCCTTAGAATTCGTTATTTATAATTACATAGGAGCGGGTCTCGCAGCCATGGAGGCTGACATCTTTGCGCTACGGCAAGCGCAGAGGCAACAAACTAGCGATTGCGAGATCTCCCATGACGCTCAAAAATAACTACGGCAAGTTGAGAGAGATGAACTGAGACGGTACTGAACAGTAGATGGCAGTATTATGCCTGAGAAGCGTTTAGTCTGCCTGAAACCAAAGAAGAAGAAGAAGCAGGTATACTGCGCCTCAGTAACAAGAAAGGTGAACAAGGCGGCAGGCGTGAGTGACTTTGCAAACTGTTTGGCACTGTGCGGCCAAACATCAGACGAATGGAGGATCATGCCTACTCTGTATCACAACGAAAAGCGGCGGACACCGAACCCCCGTCATCTAAGAAGCGGAAACACGACGAGAATAAACGCAAGCGTGACAAGAAACGACAAAAAACACGGATCAACATTGGCACGGCATTTACACGATGGAAGTCACTGATGGAGGAAAAAGGTTTTCAAAGTGACGCTCAAGTTGCCAGTTTTCTCTTGGACAGGTAATTAATCCTACACACACAATTGTCTAATATCACTGCAGTTTTTGGAGTACAGGATGCTCAGACCTGTCTAAAACAATAACATGCTGCGTGATGATGCTGCTACTCTCCAGTATACTTATTCAGCAACGTCCCTGACGTTTCATAGGTAATGATTCAGTAATTTTCTGTAAAATAATTTTCTGGATATATACCTCGGTTACTTCTCTCCGGCTCCTTTGGAGATCTTCAAGCCTTTCTTCCTCTGCTCTCACCCCGCTGGCTCCCCTCCCTCGCCTGGCCCTAGCTGCACGGCCTCCCTGCCTTCGCCCTCGTCCTCTCCCTCTCCCTCGCGTTGTAACCCCCGTGCCACCAAAATGACTTGGACTCTGTAAACGGGGAATATATATTCTTCCAGCGAACACAATCTCGCTGTTAAACTAACGACTACAATTACTTCGTCTGTTTATATCACCATGCAAAGCAGCTCACCAAAACGTCACAACGACGTAGAAAAAATAACGGGTATATTTATTATCTTAAGTCTACATGAAATCTATACCCTACACAGACTAATGAAATACTATCTGTAAAATTATCTATGTAAACAAACCTCATCACTTGAGAAGGTAGGTGATGTGGACGTCGTGGAAGACATTTTGTCCCGTAACGCTCGCCGTACTGTTGGGGGGGAGAAGCGGTGGGGGGGAGATGTTCATGTTGCTGCGGTCTGCAGTCTGACCGCTAGATGTCGCTGAAAATTACACACTGTAGCTTTAAGCCTGAAGCTTTTTAATGTGACGCATAGAGCGCTCATTAAAGGACTTTTTTATCGTCAACATTATTCTCCAAGGACTATATGTAGAGCTCCCCCTACAGGTTTGGTGGGTTACCCCAGGCTCACACCGACTCCGGTCTTACCGTTGCGGTGCGGTGGGTGCGGCGCCGCAGTGATTCCAAGTCATTAAAAAGACATAAACCTCTCTCACCGGCTGCTGAGCTGTCCGGCTGCGGTTACCGAGACACTCCGGCGCTGCAGAAAATTCCGCAAGAAAGCTATCCTTGCGGCGTGCCGGAGAACCTCCGCAACAAGCTCTCGCAAATATCCTTATTTTGGCCGTGTTATCGCGTGAAGTTACGTGAACTCAGGTGAACTTCTGTTAAATCTCCGGACCTGTTGCCGGAGCCGCAGAGCCGAACCGCACCGTAGTCAAAAGGGCGGTGTGAGAGGGGGTGTGCGGGAGTTGCTGTCTCTGTCGGCTCGGTAACCGCACCGGAGCCAGTGTGAGCAAGGGGTTACAGTTCAGTAGATATCAGCGGATTATATATGAATGTTTCCAGTTTAAAAAAAAAAACCAAAACTTGGTGGTCGTGGCCTATATTTAGGAGCGCTCTATAGTTTGGGGAATACGGTAATACCACAAAAATAAGGTCATAATTGTACCAGAAGAATAACATTAGAACAAAAGTTCAATATTACAAGAAAAAACTATTGATAGTTTGAAAGATTTTAGAGGGAAAAGTTAATTT